ATAACCCCATGTATCTTATTGAATCACCAAGGCTTATAATTAGAATTCAACAGCAACACTAATTTCAGAATGCCCACAAACACATGGAAATTAAACAACGCTCACATAAATCACCAATGGGTTGAGGAAGAAATAAAGGAAAAAAAATTGAAGATGACCTAAAATTCCATGAAAATGACCATGCAACATACCCAAATTTATGGGACACAATGAAAGCAGTGTTAAGAGGAAAGTTCATAGCACTAAATGCCTACATAAAGAAGCTGGAAAAAAATCCCACACTAGTGAGTTAACAGAACACCTGTAAACTCTAAAACAAAAAGAAGCAAACTCACCCAGGAGGACTAGATGGCAGGAAATAATCAAATTGAAAGCTGAATTCAACAAAATAGAAACAAAGAAAACAATACAAAGAATCAATGAGACAAAGAGTTGGTTTTTTGAGAAAATCAACAAAATAGACAAACTTTATCTAAACTAACAAAAGGCAGAGAGAGAATATCCCAAATAACAAAATCAGAAATGAAAAGGGGAGCATAACAATAGATATGGAGGAAATCAAGAGAATCATCAGGTCATACTTCAAAAACTTGTACTAAAAAATTATACACAAAATTGGAAAACTTAAAGGAAATGAACAATTTTTTGGATAAATATCACTTACCAAAATTAAAGCAAGACCAGATACGCAAATCAAATAGACCTATAACTGCTAAATAACTAAAAACAATCATCAAAAGTCTCCCAACCAAAACGGCCCAGGACCAGATGGTTTCAGCACAGAATTCTATAAGATTTTTCAGAGGTGAACTCATTCCAATACTCCTCAAATTGTTCCACACAATAGAAACAGAAGGAACATTGCCAAACTCTTTTTACAAGGCTACAATTACCCTGACACCCAAACCACACAAAGACATTACTAAGAAAAAGAATTGCAAACCAAACTCACTCATGAACATTGATGCAAAAATATTAAAATACAAGCAAACCAAATTCAAGAAAACATCAGAAAAATCATTCACCATGACCAAGTAAGCTTCATCCCAGAGATGCAAATCAATGTAATCCAACACATAAACAAACTGAAAAAAAAACCATTATCATCTCATTAGATGCTGAAAAAGCATTATACAAAATCCAACGCCCCTTCATAATAAAGATCTTAGAGAGAGCATGGATACAAGGAACATACATAAGCATAATAAAGGCAATATACAGCAAGCCAACAGCCAACATCAAACTAAATGGAGAGAAATCTAAAGTGATCCCATTGAAATCAGGAACAAGACAAGGTTGTCTACTCTCTCCATATATATTCAATATGGTTCTTGAGGTTCTAGCTAGTGCAAAAAGACAACAAAAGGAAATCAAAGGGGTACAAACCAGAAAAGAAGTCAAACTCTCACAAAATTTGCTGATGGCATGATGGTTTACATAAGAGACCCCAAAACTTCTACCAAGGAACTTCTAAACCTCATAAACACCTTCAGTAATGTAGCAGGATACAAGATTAACACAAAAACTCAGTAGTTAGTCCTCATTTACACAGATGATAAATGAGTTGAGAAAGAAATCAGAGGAACATCATGCTTCAAAATAGCCACAAATATCATAAAATATCTTGGAATAACTCTAACCAAACAAGTGGAAGACCTGTGTGACAAGAACTTTAAATCTTGAACAAAGAAATTAAAGAACATGATACCAGAAAATGGAAGCTGTAGCATGCTCTTGGGTAGGTAGAATTAACATAGTAAAAATGGCACTCTTGCCAAAAGCAATCTACAGATTAAATGCAATGCCTATCAAAATCCCAGCAAAATTCTTCACAGTCCTTGAAAGAATAATATTCTACTGCATATGGAAAAGTAAAAAACCCAGGATAGCCAATACAATCCCGTACAATAAAGGAACTTCTGGAAGAATCACAATCCCTA